CTTCCTGGATTTTGCTGTAGACGTGCGAGTATTGTCGTAATAGTTGGCCGTAAAGTTGAAGATCCACAGATAGTTTCTAAGTTTATGTAATGATGATGCATCAGTTTCAGAGGATATGTAGCACTGAATGACATCATCTCAGTCCTTTCCTTCGCTTGTTTAATGATGCAATGGATGAATTGTGAGTTCAAAATACTGTTGATCATTGTTTGCCCGTACGGCAGGTAATTTATCCGTAAGTGGAGATTGAAGTGGTAAAGCCAACATTGCTGTGTTTATTACAAACTCTCGTGTATCAGTTCAAAACCCATATTTATTGATGCCCCTTTAGTTTTATCATTTTTAACTTGCATTCCAGTACAGGTTAATTATGAAAAATAATTTCTTAAGAAAACTCAAATTTCTGTTGTTGTGTAAGTGTAAAAGGAAAACAAAATCGACAGCTGTCTGTCAGCCAATATCCTTGTGTTCCTCTTTAATGCAGGTTGTTCTAGAAGCTTCTGTAGGCAACATGGGCATGAGTGACATTGCAGTGGATGACGTGACATTCGCACAGGGTCCTTGTCCAGGTATGTTAATTGTCAGATATCTAAATTCTTCAGTCCGTTTCAAGCCTAAGCCTCCTCAAATCAAAGCTGTCTGTTTAGACAGAACAGTCGACCTTATTAAATGGTGAATCAATTCAGCACATAAAATCAAAATCCATGTCCAAAGTGGCATTTGAAACAAATTTCCCAAATACAGATTATGCTTGGCAGACCAATGCATTAGTAAGAAATTTATAAATTTATAATACAAAGCAGAATTTTAGATTTAAATCAGAAACTTTGGCCTGCATGCTTTATTTAATGTGCGTTGAGAGAGAAAAAGTTTAAATTAATAAAATTTTAACGGTGCTAGGTACACTAAAGCACATTCAGAACAGTAGCGCATTGGCCATGAGGAAAAAGCCGTGTTCCTAGCAAAGACCTAAACCATTAAGCATTATTTATCATGTGCTTGTTCACTCACTGAAAAACATGAAATTGGATAACTTTGCGAAGGCTTCACAATGACATGCGAACAGCAGACACATATTTAAAAAATATATATGTTTTTTTTTTGTATTGCGTTAATGATGTCAGGTTACCCCACACACTCGCGCACAGACACACACAGTTTGAAACATTTACTTATATTAGAAAGGCAATTACATTACGCTGATTCTCCTATAAATTTATCCTTTACATTGGCTTTAATAAATGATACAGTATCTCCAAATCTTTCAGCATGTACATTAAAAATCTAATTTATAGTTTCTTTGCCCATGCGATGTAAGTCAACTTAGTAGACCAATAACATTCATAAAAGTGTTCAAAGCACCAGAAGTTTCAAACTCACTCTTCTAAACCATGAGTGTCATTTGTTTCAGTTGCCCCACAGGTAGCAGCACCTACAGCTGGGGACTGCACATTTGAAGTCGATGAGTGTGGCTGGGTTAACAGTCAGGTGGTGAAGGGCCTTGACAAAATACATTGGCAGAGAACACCCATTAGAACACAGAACACTCGCTTCCAGCGTAGGCCCTCTGGGAGTATCCAAACTGGCGGCAATCAAAATGGTAACATAAAACTGTAGTTCTGCACCCAGCGACTTTTGAATCAGTGCAGGAAAAATGTTCGTACTTTGGGGGTTATTTCAGTTACATGGGCTTGCTGCGTTCGATGAATCAATTGGGAAGACGGTGGAATATCTTATTTACGGGAGTGGGATTCTAGGATTTTAACTTTGTAGACAATAAACCTTGGCACCTGTTGTGATTCAGCATATTGCAGGCAACGTGCAAACCCAAAAGAGATTTGATGCTGCAGTGTAACAGATGGAACCTGGTCCAGGGATGATGGGGTACACAGGTCATATAGCACTCATAGGAAAGATGATAAATGGATACAAAATATTAATTCCAAAACCTAAAGGTAAGAGACCACTTGGGATTAGATGGAAGGACAGTCTTAAAGTCACGGTCTATGAGAATGTTGAGACTAGTATCACTCTGTTTCCATGCACAGGGCAAGTGTTCTTCGTACTCTGTAGGTGAATGCCAACGTAGTAGACGACACCATGAAACAGGCAACACTTATTCACGCTCATTTGATGCTTAACAATTCCTGCTAAATAACCAGTTTTGGTTATGTCTGTACAATATATACATCCAGCATCACAAACTTACAGTTTTGTGTAAGGGTTCAAACTTGTGTCTTGCAGAATACTACCTGAATCTTGGAAAGAAGTTGTTGCAGCCAACTGGGAGTGCCGCTCGGCTGATATCTCTGGAATTCCCAGGATCTGAGGAGCCACAGTGTCTCTGTTTTTGGTGAGCACAGGCCTATATAGTTTCATTTATAATATGTCAACTAATTTTTAATACATTTTCCATACAGTAAATATGGGTGGTTCTCTATATTACAAAAGTGAATTGGAATAAACCACAACTTTGATAAATTTTTCCACCCCTTCTTAGGGTTTGGCACAATAGGATCATTGTGTAGTGACAAGAATTTGAAATTACTCGCACTATTATTTGAGCATTAGTCTGTGTGGGTATAACAATTTCTCAGTGATCTGTGAAAACCGTGTAAAAAATAAGATGTTGTCATGTGGTACAGACAGATGTTAGCTACTAATCAGCATGAGTTTCATGTATTTCTTCAGCCTCTTCTAAACTCACAAGTCACAGTTCTCTTTTGATACTATCTGAATTCTCACTCGCTCTCTCGTTACTTAATGTTAATTCAGATTACGAGGCCAGGGTGCATGGAATTTGTGCGATCTTAAATGGAATGATGTGGCATTCTGCAGGTACTTCATGCATGAGCCCTTCATAGACTTAGGCGGACCGAGCCTTGGAGTTCTTCGCATCCTGTTGCTGGTTGGAAAGGGCCACACGTCTGTACCCATCTGGCAGCTCACAAATAACCAGGGCCCTACTTGGAACTATGGCCAGGTTCCTATCAAAGAAAACAGTAGCTACAAGGTGAGAGAGATTACAGGTTACAGACCCATGGTTGGAATCGGCTCACCACAGCCACAAAATAAATAAATGAGTAAAGAAATAAAGAGGCAGGCCCCAGAGTCAGTCTGGGATTTGTGTGATGAGAAGAATGATGCCCCGCTAGAAATTTAACCTTGGTTGTCTGGCCTGTAGCATAATCACTATGCTTAGTGTGCTACACCAACATAATTAACTGTCTGGTAATGGACGTATATCTGCATTTTTTGTTGTGCTGTTCTGTGTAGACAAACATTAGTGATTGGCCGATCCCTCCATGTAAGGAGACCTACGAAATGTTACGCTAATTCTGAACTGGAACAGGCCACAAGGCACAATTTATAAAATGTTGAAGATGAAGGAAATAACTCTGTTAGTGGACCACAGAGGTATGGCATGACACTAGCTGTCACCTCGCAACATAGCCTGAGTTACCTGAGCTACGTCTTCGTGTTACATGTCCAGACAATTGTAGCATGCAACTCTAGATATTCTGGGTGGCCTGTGCAAAATGACAACTTCCTCATTATGAGCTGTCCAAAACATTGAATTTCTCTCTTTATATTTTGGAAAACTGATGGTATAACAACATTTTCCGACGAGAATAATGATCATTTCTGGAGTGTTTCTCTCCTAGTATCATCTTGAAACTCATTTCCCTGTGGTATTGCTTGACACTGATAACTTTTAGAATTATACATTGTATAAAATTGTGATATCATAACTTTTTTACACATGCCTGCTAATATATTTACTGTTATTTCAGTAACTCACTAAATTAGTTAGTGGAAAATAAATAAGCAGGGTATAAAACAAAAATTAAGAAGTGAACATTTGCAGTAATTATGCATGTCTCTTGATTTCAGGTGGTATTTGAGGGGATGTGGGGCCCAAACAGAGCCAATGGTGCCATTTCTATTGATGATATTTCCTTTCATGAGGGACACTGCAACAGTAAGTGTTATTTTTGTTGGAAGAGGTTGCTTTTGAGTCTAATCATGGACATATTAACATAACATTGAAATAATTGTCATGGAAACAGTTTTGATAATATACATTGTGTTCTGTTTAGTGAGACCCCACCATGCAACAGTACGCCCAGAGGACTGCTCCTTTGAGCGTGGAATCTGTGGCTGGCGCAATGCGACACTGTCAGACTCTGGCGAGCAACTCATGTCGTGGCAGGTCGCCTTCGACATGCACCGCCCAGCAGAGCTCCCCGATAAAACTTTTGGTACATCAGGTGAGGTTACTGGTGCGGAGGTACGTCCTCTCTGCGTGCCACAGCCTTGCCTCAGAGCTGGTGGGTCTTTAGTTCTAAGAAGTTTGGACGAATACTATTTAGCAAAGAGGCAACCACGAGTTTTAAAAGTACAAGCTTATGTATTTCCTTAAGGTCCTTCAGAATTTCACTCTAGAAAGAAATATAATTTTCCTCCTTTCATGCCCTTGTGAGGATGGCTGTCAGGATCCTCTAGAACATGTCCCTGGACTGTATAATCCAGCAGGGACTGGGTAGAGAATAAAATTATTAAATGTTACTACTGACTGCCCCTGCGTTATTATATTTTTTTTTTAGAAAATTAATGCCTTTTTTTACTAATCTGCTAGTTTATTTTTCATCAAATGAATTTTTGGTGTGCAGAGGGCTACATCTTCTTTGACATCTTCACAACCAACCAGCAGCAGAGAGAAGTCAGGATGTTGTCCCCGGTCATGGATGGCGAGGGCTATGACGATTTGTGCTTCACTTTTTGGTATGCTGCCTTTGGGGCCGGTGACACCACACGGCTTCACGTGTTCAAGGCGGACCCTGGCAGTTCGGCAGGCCAGATGGTAACCTTATTGTGGAAGATGACAGCAGATGGGTATGATTCATCACATCCAACCTGGACACCTGCCCAGTTTACTGTAGATGCAAGATCACCATTTGTAATCATGTTGAAAGGTCGGGCAAGCAATGGAGGATTTGCTGTTGATGATATTAAGACATTCCCTGGGACTTGTAAAAGTAAGTAGTCTGAGTGAAAGGTGATGACTTGGTCCATTTAACTGCGTTGTCATGGATATGATATAAAAAAAACCTCTTAATGATTCACACTGGTTGAAATTCAAATTGATATTGATCCATATTTATGATATCAATAAAAGAAGCAGCGTACAAGAGACTGAAATAACTTAATGGATTTGTGGGTAGACACAACTGAGGGACTGTACGATAGACTGTATATAAATACTAGGATGGAGGAGCAGGTTACCTGAAAGTTAATTTGTAGATCAAGATGGGGATATGAGGATAATATTAAAGTGGATCTTAAGAACAAAGACTTGGTTGAAGTGGTTCAGGTAAGGTTTGATAAGAGAGTGGTATTGGTACAAAACCATCCAGTTATACTACCAGGTGGTTACTAGTCACATTGAGTTTTACTGGTACAAAACCATCCAGTTACACCACCAGGTGGTTACTAGTCACATTGAGTTGGCTGTCTGCAACTTTTACCCAATATTCATGATTTGTGGTATAAATTCTGACCCTTGGACAGGTATTGTGTTCAGAACACCTAGCTCGGATCTCTGGTGAAACCAATTACTTTGGAGAGTTGCGGCGTGATTCAGTACAGCGAGTATGCAGTAAGCCACTACTGCTTCATCCTCTCAATATAACCATGTCTAAGTTATTAAATAGTGTCATTTATTATCAGATTAAGTTGTAGACCTGTGACTGTCTTTGTGTTTGTCAAATCGCAGATTCAGAACTACGTATTAATAGCCATGATTTTTCTTTTAGCTCGACCTGCACAAGCTGAACCTGTGGAATAAAACTGGACTGAAGATGAATTTGCTATTTATGCATTTCTTAATTTATTCCTCGATGTATTGTAAACAAATCTGTGCAGCGTTAACGTAAGCCTATATATATATATTTTTTTTTTTTTTTGCAGAATGCCAACTCATGAGTAGGCCAATATCTCAATAACCCTTTATTATTCTTAAAATTTAAGTCTTCCCTTGTTGCCCTAAAATACAGTTTTGACTCCTTAAATACTACAAGAGAAATTTATTGTACTTAACAAAGAAACACACACAGCCTTATATGTTTCATAAATATTTACCTGAATTATCAAAAGCACAGTAACTTTACAGCCCACTGTAATCTAAATGTTGTGTGCATGAAATTTCTGGTTGAATGAACTGGATATTGGGAGTTATGTTATAGTACCTGTAATATTCATCATAAAATAAATTCAGAGGAATGGAGCGTGTCAACCATAAAGCCATCTTGCATTACAGGACTTTTATATTATAAAAGGTAAAACGAAATGATGATGCTTTCTTTATTTTGATTAAGTCAAATCACTTCAATTGATTAAATTGATACAAATCCTTCCAAACTATTTATGTTGCACTGGACGATACAGAGGTTTGAAGTTGTGTACATCTACTCTTTGACTTATGAAATAGCTGAGGTAATGCCTTCTTTGTTGATAATAATTTTCACTGAACATTCTTGTTTCACTGTTAGAATTTAATACATCTTACATCAGTGAGACTCTAATAAGTAGTAGCATAATGTCTCTAGTCATTTATACCATTTTTATCTGGAACAGTTTAATGTTTGGTATGAATTTAAGTATAATTACATATAGTGACATAATTGGTGATTACACAGTGGGTTCTTAACACAAGCATTACACACTATTATGAGTACAACTGATTATTTACTGAATTAATTCCTGATTCTCCACATATCACAGTCCCAATTATCTGTATGTGGTGCTTTCTTCTGCACTGTTCTTAGCCCTGGTTCTACCTTTTCACACTCCTTGGTCATTCTGTGTCACTTCAATTAAAAACTTGGGTGGCTGTTTGCCTGAACCCATAATTTATAGTACTTGCAAGTCCTCTAGATGTCTATGGTTGTTTCCATAAACCTCTCAAATGTTTGATCAACTTCAGGAGTTATAGTGAGGCATCAAAGAGTAGCACTGTTTCTCACTGCAGAAAGCTAAGATCCTTTGAGACTGCAGCATTCTGGTGCCAGTGTAGGGTGGTGGCCAGGTACTTCACCTCAGCTCATAAGTCCACTACAGTGTGTGTGTGTGTGTATATATGCTGATTTTCTTGGATTAAGTCCTCAGACATGTTGGAATTCAGAATTTATTCTGATACTGTGGTAGAATATGGTAAATGTAATTGAATATGTTTTGGAAGAGAGTTTGCTTGTGACAGGGAGGACAAGAGAAGGGAGTTGGATGGTCCTTGGCAACATGTGGGCTCAAAGGTAGATACCAACATTTCAGAGAAAAATGTATGTACCTGCAAGTCCACATTGTGCCACAACCCAGAAAAACAGCACTGATGTCTTCACCACTGAAAACCCCAAATCTCCCTTTTACCCTCTTTTCTGAAAACATTGCACAAGATCCTGTGGGATAACCCTTAGTAGTATAGCCAGGAAGTGGGTGATGTGGTACGTTATCTGTTGCAAAATATAAGGCTTTTAGTTTTATGTGCATTTTGTGAGTCCACCCACTGTTGGTCACACGAATCTCAATCAAAATTAAAGGAAGCAATGTTAATAGCAGCTTTGAAGCTATATTGGAAGCCAATGGCCTCTTTCATCATCTTTCACATTCCTAAAAGGATTCAATCACTCCTGTGGTGAACAGAAGGAAATTTCTCTTCTGTGAGTTTCTAGATATTGTTCATTAGGAGGTAATTTAATTTTCAAGCATTTCTAACAATACAGCCATTCATTTGACATTCATTTAGTATATTGGTTCAGCAAAAGACACTGTTAGCGTGTCAGATCAAGAAGAAAGAGATGAGTAGGTATGCATTATGGTTTATCCATACGCTGCCAGTTATGGCTCAGCTACATGACTTAGTCTTGTTACTGCAACTCTTGGCTTTTCACAGCAGCATTTCCAGGTCGAGCTGAAAGGAAACACAGGGATGTTAATTACAACTACGAATTAGAAGTTACATCAGCATTACACCTGAAGAGTGAACTCACTTGAACAGGAGCCTGGAGAGAACATGAGGTCATCCACTGCGAAGCCGCCGTTCGTAGCCTGACCTTCCAGCAGGAGGCGGAAGTCAGTCTGAGAATCCACTGCTACCTGCGCTGGAAACCAAGTTGGACGGCTGGTGTCCATAAGTTTAGCATCCAGGACCCATACCTGCTTGTAACAGTTTTCGCAGAAATATAATTGTGTGACATCATTGTCGGTTACACTCTGTGTTAACCAGAGGTGAAGTCGTATCTTTTGTGGTGGAATTTGGTGGAAACATGGAAAAAACTGTGTATAAACATAACATAAAGGGACTTTGTTGATGAATGAAAGGCCCAGTACAGACCTACAAGTAGGCTAGTTTTTGGTGCAGAGAACACTTTTAGACTAGATGCTTCAGCCATGCTGACCGACTGTTGTGCAGAAAACACTTGTAGACTGGATGCTTCAGACATGCTGACTGACTGTTTCCAAGAGAACTGCGACAGAGATGCAGAAAACACTTTTAGACTGGATGCTTCAGCCATGCTGACCGACTGTTTCCAAGAGAACTGCGACAGAGAAAATTAAAACGGGGACAGAAACCTTGCCTTTAGACATCATTCATCATCATCATCCTACCACATCTAATTCAACACCGCAGATAAGCACATAACCTTTCTACGTGGTCATAGGGAGTAAACATGACAGCGTATCAGTGAAACTGTTCTGGTTCACTTAATTTCAGCTAAAGTGGACACAGGATTGTAGAACAGCAGAATACAAACAAGAGTTGGAAATGGGTGCCATTGCAAACAGTAAAGTCATGTTGACGCCTCTAAGGAATACCATTATTCAAGAGCTAGGAGACCAGAAATTCATAGAATGCAGATTTCTCAAGAAGTGCTCTGCTTCATGGAGTTAGTTAATTGAAGAAGGAAAAGAAAAGTAAGATTATAATTTTTGTGCCTTTTCTTGTGGAGGTGCCTCGCCATTGTCACTGGAGCTGTTCTCCTGTCGTATGACTCTCAGCTCAGCAGACTCGCCTGCTCCAAACACAGCAAACCAGAATGTGAAGCAGAGGGTCTGCTCCTCCATGGCAGTGATCATGGGGGAGATGAGGCGTACCAGATTACTGCCCACATTCTGGTTGAACAGGTCGAAGTAAATGTATCCCTCTGCCAAAATAGATAAATTATATTTATAGGCAACTATCAAACATAGTACAATAAGTAAGAGTTCAGACTTCGTTATCTGTGACAGTATGCGTATTTGTCGCCATGTGGCAACACTGAACAGCAGCTACTGGAATTGGTATAAGTAAGAATTACACATTAAAAGTATTGAATTGGTTTAAGTCCTGTGCCCTCTTCACTACAGCTATTACCTGGAGCTCCAAATGTCTTGTCAGGAAGGTTGGCAGGTCTCCTGGAGACAGTGGCCATGCGCCATGACACGCTCGACTTCTCTTGCGTTGTGTCGTTGTACCAGTCGCACGTGTCTCTCTCAAACCGACACTGCCCTACCCGAACATACGCTCCTGATGGCATGGCTGGAATGTTAGAGGTATGCTGTATCACAAGGTGGTTTTATATTATTGTAAAATAATATTTTATTATAACTTACTCTTACAGAGTTCAGAATACATATACAATATATAAAATGTATAAAATATGACAGCAGTTAGAAGACCATGTATGTCCTGTTTTCCATCTGAGACCCTTGACAGTGACAATTTGTGATAAAAGACCATGTATGTCCTGTTCAGACCCTTGACAGTGACAATTTGTGATATATCAATCACTTCCACCACCAATCATTCCATATCTGAATTTCGCTGCTATTTAAGTACCTATTTATATTTAATTTCATAACTAGACCTGACTAAATTCAGTAGCTGCAGTAAGCAGCTAAGAAACTGGTAATTAGACCCAGAGGTGATTTGAATCACTCCCTGGTGACTGATAAATTGATAGACAATGAAATGGAAGGCATTCTTGTCTCACCTAAGTTCATTGCTTAATTAAGCCCCATACTTAACTCACAGTATGGTGAAGTGACCAATGGGAAGTCAGAAGTGCGAGTGTAGTAAGCAGGTCGATCACTATAAAAAAATCTGAAATCTTGGGTTAATGTAGCTTATATAACCAACTAATTGTTAGACCAGAGTCTTTCTTGAGATAACTGTGTGCTTGGATTGTATATTTGTGCGGTTTAATAGTGACAACACTCTTGCAAATCAAAATATTTAAAATTCAGGTTCTGAAATTTTCTGTGCACTTGTTATAAACAGTTTTGGGGCTCAGATTTGTGTCTGTAGGATGAAGCGGGGGTTAGCATTGACAATAATTTGGGTTCTGTTATCAGAAAGTGACTGAGTTAGCAAATCAAGAACAAACTTACTAGAACAAGCTCCTCCGAAGAAAGTTATGTCATCAAAGCCAATAAAGCCATTAGCTCTGCTGGAACCCCAGGTTCCTTCGAATACAATTTGCTGAAATCACAAAACACACAGATTTAAGTTTTAAAGACTTAACCTTTGTGGCAAGAATATATAAAAAAAAAATTTAATTGAAAACTGCCTATGGAACATTGTCCTGCTTCAGAGATTAATAGTTACTCAGCTATTTTCTCACCTGAAATAAAAAGTGTTTAAATTTTGTAAAATAATTTCTTGTTTGATTTTAAAAAGACTTTTAAGACTATTTTTTTTATTTGTACATGAACATGTAAATAGAAACACATAGTAGGGGACCCAGTGTTACCAACCTTTTTACTGTTGGGAGGAATAATTCTTTATCAAAGCTGTTTTAATATTTTTGTTTCTCACTTTGTTAACACTGAATTTAAAGCACCATACCATATGCTCTGTAGTTTCAGGAATCATAGCTTGTGCATATCTCCACTCTGGCCCCTGGTGGTTATACAGCCTCCATATTGGGGTCATTACAGATTTTGCATTCTTCGTGTACACCGTGAGGGATCCAAGGCTGGGACCAGTGTTATCAATGAATGGCTCATTCAGCACAAACCTGTGAAGCGTTTGGTTACATATCAGCCAAAATTATCACACCATGAAGGCATAAAAGCAAAGCTCTGCACAATTTAACTTCAGTACTTGATAGAGGTAAGTAGTGGTCAGTTTTCCTTGCCCATTTTTCCCCCTAACAATACATACTGGGTAGGAGGCTGTGTGGACCCCAGAAGTTGGACATCGTGGGCAAGAAATTGATTCCAGTGGTTTTACTGGGAGTTAAAATCTGAACTTCCTGACTAGAGACATTGACTGAACTACAATATGTTATGGGCTACATAATGAACTTAAAATTTCAGTTTATTGTGAATTATGATATTTAATTTGATCTCTCATTATATAATTTATTTATGAAACAGAACCTTACACCTGTCTTTTGTCATTAAATGTGAAGATTCTTAAAGAACAAAAATTGTAATTGGTAGGGTTCGGTGAATGTGTCAATGTGGCTTGTGTGTAGCGCAGTCTCAGACATGTTCTAGGTCTTCATAGGTCTACAACAGAAATTCTAAGATACCTCACCCAATTCAGATAGCTTTACACACAAAGAGATTAATGTGGTTTATACCAAAATGACATGCATCGTGGCATTGTAGTCTGTTTCATTTCCAGAGATGCGAACCAAGCCCGGCTTCCTGGTCGCTGGACGTTATTCCTTGCCAAGGCCATGAGGAATCCTGAAAAATAAAAAAGGTATAGCAAAACCAACTGAAGTCTGAGCACTGTAAACAAATGTGGCTAATGCAGGCTGCTTACCTTTCTCAGATCCAAGCGTATGATCATATGTAGAGGTCCGGGTAGCCTGCCCAGACACACGGTCCCAGTCGATGTCATCCACTCGATCTCTTACCCCAACATTAGCCCATCCACACTCATCCACTTCAAATGTGCAGTCCCCTGATATTGGTGCTGCAATCTGAGGGGCAGCTGCAAATTTATCATTCGCTGTATTTTTCTTCTGATGACCACATTATCAACAAGTGTTAAGGTGAGGAACTGAGCGAGAGTATTTTCAACACTGCAGCTTCAAAGGACACTGTCTCACAACCACAAGGCATTCTTTTCTCAGAACTTAATAGGTCTACATTGTTTTGTACAGATGCAAAGATAGATCTGTCAATACCTTGGATGAAAAGAGATTAAGCGCATTTAGGAACTGGATATTTTAGTCAATAGATGGGCCTGTGGAAAATTATAATATTAAATTCTGACTTTTATTTTGTAGACTAATATACGGATGGAAAGATAATATCAAATAGGTACTCTAGGTTAAAACAGAACCTATTTTATAACAATGATGAATTTAAGATTAAGGTTTGAGGTCCTCATGGCAGTGAAGATTAAATTGTTATTCTTCTGTTAAAGAAGAAATGTAAAATAATATTTTCTTACCCTGGCATCACACTGCTTAGGGATTAATAGTAATATTGTGCAGTCTCTGTAGCACTGAGCATCAACCGAAGGAAGACATATACTCACTTGGACAGCTTCCTTGAGTGAATGATAGATCATCAAGGGCAATGTCTCCTAGGTTGTTCTTTCCAACTTTGCCAGATATGATGATCTGAAACACAGATGGATATTATTGTGTCTTACGTATGAGGGAAGAGGTATTTGTTAAAATATCCCATTAAAATAACATTGAATATAATAAAGTTCTATTAGGTAATTTATTGTTATTTAAATTATTGATATATTATTACCTCTGGCAGGTCTATTAGCCTATACATGTATTATTTTTTAGACTGTAAATGAATTATGTTTAGCACATAACATAAAAGTGACATCATCATTAAAATATGTTGTCATTGTGGTACAATATTACATTTCCACATGATCTAACATCTATATAAGGATTTGCCACTGAATGTAGACTCCGTTGTAAGAACTCGGAACTAGGAAACTAGCTTTCATCATACTTCAGTACTAACCATGAATGGGTTAGGGGAAGAGATGGGGAGTTCTGCCTGATACCATGCATTGCCTGCCTCTCCAGATAGGCTCCAGACCTCCCATTCCTTGGCCTCTGCGGTGTCACTCAGGAGAATACTCAGGGCTCCAATCCCATTTCCGTACATGTGCGTCCAGAACCTGAGACACAGGGGGCTGTCTGGACCTGAAAGGAGCATCCATCAGTGGACCTCATACATATTTATTGTAGATACAATTGTCTGTTTAAAAAGTTTATGCAATCATGGCTTTCAAACTGTAGCATATTATGATTCTCCTCAGTCCCTCTATGTATAACCTTAAGACAGACTACCATCTTTTGTAACTCTCCATTCATGATTGCATTACCATATGCCATTTCATGTGCTTCGCTGCTTACATTTAACAATTAAATTAAATCATAGACCTCCATCGGCCAGTAAGAACATGTTTCCAAAATTGAATGTTCTTTCCTGAAAGAAGAAGTGATTTCCAGAGTTTCAGCACCTGTGGCTTCAAATTCCATACTGGACAGTCTTGCAAAGTCGCCTGGACGTCGGGGGTACGACGAATCTATGTATGCATATCCTCCTTCCATCCCTCCATGCATAAAACTAGTGCGGTCTGTTGAAGGTCCAGTGGATGGATTATGACTGCCACGCCCCTATGAACAATAACTTGGTTTTACAATTCCTTCAATTCCAATGCTGTTATTGCGATATGGTTGCGGACCTTAGTGACCACTGTAATAAATCTTCACCTTTTATGATAGGAATTCTTGGGTAAGTAATTACCTATTAATTTTTAAAGGAAATCCCTGTTAAATGTATTCATTATAGACCAAATAAGATGTGCGTTACATGGATCCTCATTAATTAGGATCTGAAACCCCAGTGTACAAACACGAGCAATATGCTAGCCATACTTAATGAGTTACATACAACATAAATGCTTAAGATACATTTCCTACGAACAGTGAAGGAGCAAAGACAATAAAAAAAAGAATACTCGAGATAAATTATAAATTTAATTTTGATATAAGCGTAAATAGGTTCCTATAACTGTTCCACAGCAAGTGAGATTTGTGTTCTGGGTTTTATGCCATGTAGACTTGCAGGTAGATACAGAACATGCTGTTTTGTGTTGTAACTACACAATGCATTTCTATAACTTGTTTCTGAACTTCATCTTACCAGGAACCAGTCAAAGTCATCGTCCTCATCATTGGTCCAGCCGCAGAATCCTCCTTCAAAAGTGCAGTGGCCTCTGCATCCCATCCCTGTTTTGAGGGCCACGTTGTCAACCGCCACAAAGCCGCGGTACCTGCGGTACGCATCTGAAGACTCCTTTGCCACTCCCTCGAAAACAATCTATCCACAACCAGGTCAGAACAGGAAAAAAAATGAATATTTTTACAAATATTAGTTCTGGAAAGAGAATATTTGAATGAGCACGAAACAAAAGGGAAATTGAATGTGAACAGACTCGCCTGGTGGTTAGTGTTGAATGTGTAAAGGACCTCTGCCTCAAGCCACTTCTGATTAGTTGGGTCCTTGGTACTCCATAGGACCCTGTCAAAGCCACCTTGAAGACCCTCCTCATTGAACGGATGGAGTAAAACACAAAGACCATCAACGTAGTAACTGGGGATTTAACGAAACAACCTTGCTATCACATGCAATACCGGCTGGTCAGCGCTCTGAAGAATCACTTCCTTCCCTCTTTGACTTCTGTGCAGATTTATTTTTACTACAGAATTCATAGTTTATCTAAGTGTTTGTATTTTTGCGTCATCATTCAGTAGTACCTTCGCATCTATGGTTTTAAGCCTATAGATAATGCTAGCAACATAAATCATGTTGTGTGTTTAGGTTATGTATAATATATTAGGAGCTTTACTAATAGTGCATATATATGCTACTTAGTGATCTCATTCATTATTGAATCAGCACCTGAAAGATAAGCACTTGCCCTCAGGGCCAGTGGTGTCCATGACAGTGCTGTCGAGGAAAGCATTCTGAGTGACTCTCATGTCTGGCGTTGCCCCCAGCAGAGAAGTCTCGAAGAACGCATAACCACCTAGAAATTGTAAAATGTTTATCATGTCTTATTTATGGTTGAAGCTCCCAGTCGTTACGTATGTGATAGTAGATTGTGGTTATAAGATTTTCTAAATCCATGGTCGCTTATAAATATTTTGCATATCGGATATAAACCACAATGTGTGTACCAGTCCTCTTCCTTTACTTCAAAAAATCCGGGTACATCACAAGTAGAATATCATCGATATTTGAATAAAGACTTAAAAGAAATTAATGAAATTCACTTTTGTGGTAAACAAGTCATAAGAAGTCACATTTCTGAAAAAATAAGATATACACAAATTCTGTATTGAAATTATTTCCAGGTAAGACAAGTGAAGACAGATGCTACAGCCAGTGGAGTGCACGCGGAATTCTGTTAGCTCATCGGCTGACAGAAGTCTGGATCGCTCGCTTGTCAGGGCACACGCGTGGTGGATGGTGAACAATACCTTTGAG